TAGTCCCTCGTCGAACTGTCTGAATCCCAAATGTCAAGTCTGGACCCAATGTCGTCAAGTCTCAAGTCACAACTCTGTCTCTCTCTGTCGTAGTCTGAGAAGTCAGGTGGCGAGAGGGTGAGAAGAGAAGGTGGACTTTAGAAGAGGAAGAAGAAGAACTCTCTCTCTCTCTGTGTCCAGTACTAACCTGTGAAGTTGGCGCCTTGATGCAGGTACCACGAAGATGGAGCTGGAGCGATGGCGCCACAGGTAAGTGACACTGGCCTCCGCCAGTCTCTCTCCCACTCTACGATCTACTCCTACCAGCGCCCAGCGCTGAAGACTACAGCTACAGCTATGGCGCCCAGCGCCGAAGACTACAGCTAACGCTACCACTACTGCCTAGCGCTGAAGACTACTGCAGCGCTCTTCCTGAGTGCTGCGGCCGAATCCCTGAAGACTACCTCTCCTACTGACACTACCTCCCCGTGAAGTGCATGGGAACCTCCTATGTACTACGGGTGTGCCTCTTGAGCCTGCCGAAGGRAGGCAGGGGCTGCAGCTGCAGCTCCTGCTCGAGTACGTGAGGAACAGGCTATTTTGGGCCTGTTCCGCATCCCTGTTTCCGTGCCTGAGTCTTAGGRGCAGGTCGAAACAATGAGGGCCTGAAAATGGCCCTCCGTTTCAGGCTGAAAACTCTGGGTCTGAAAAGACCCAGAAATAGGCTGAAACGAGGTAGGGCCTGCAGGCCCTCGTTTTTCAGCATCCAGGCTGAAATGAACGGGGCCTGTAAGCCCTAAGTTTTAGGCTTTTAGGCTGAATGTCCGGGACGGGCCCTGTAGGGCCCGTGTGGCTACGCAGTATGCCACACAACAGGTACTTGTTCTTGATTGTAACTCTGTCGAGAGCCCAAACTGTGCGCATCCGGAGTTTGGAAGTTCTCTGTTTCTTGCCACAGTGACAACTTGGAATGAAGGGTGAAGAGGTAGGACAAATGAATCCTGTCTTAAGGAGTTCATTGAGTTGGTGCTTCATCTCTTCAGCCTGAGGGACAAAAAGTTGACAGGTAGGGTTAGGAGTATGATCTGACTCTAGATGAATGGTATGTGAGACCCCACGGATTGGAGTTACCCCGGATCGAAAGGATTCTGGGAATGCGTCCTTGAAGTCCTCAATCAGGCTGACTATGGGTCTGAGGGAGCTGGTGGATCGGGTCTGTCAGTGTGGCAGAATTCAAGAGACTCCTGCAAGTCCATGGTATGCAGCATATGGAGGAACTGAGTGGGTGAAATTGGGTGTAAAGGGGATGGAGGAATGTCAAGGCGAAGTTTTAGATGGGTATCAGGTGGGATGGTTGAAGGGTCCTGGGATCCAGGCGGTCCTGCCTATGCAGTGGGAGGCTGGGTGGCGGGCTGCGTGAGTCTGGCTCTAGTGAACCACCCGGACTTAGGGCAGTTAACCTGCTGATGGCCTAGCTGCTGACAAGGGAAACCACCTCTTGTTGCCCGAAGTCGAGCCCTTCCGTGTCCGGAAGTTCCCCCAAATGGCAGGGAAGGGAGGCAGGTCCATAGGACTGCAGCCGTTGCCTATCCATGTCGTGGAACCATCTCTTCCTGTAAGAGGCCGCTTGAAGAGGACAGGGTGAGTCTCAAGTTGGAGGGATTGGAGTAGGGTGAGGATCCAGAAGGGGGTTGGGGACCTGTAGGGTGTGGTTGGGTCTGGCATGGTGTTGTTAGAAGTGCACTGTGAAGGGTCCTTTTAGCCGTAGGGCTCGTGACACAAAGTGGCCTTTGAGCTGGAGGGCTGCAGCAAGGTGGGTAATCCATGGGAGGGTCGTAGAGTAGAGCAGCAGAGAGGTCTGGCCTGCAGGTGCATTTGAGATGGGAGATGAAGATGGCCTCGACAATGAGGGTTGTGGGGATATGGCAGTGGGAAGCGCGGTGAAAATCAATGTATGCTGCGTTAGGTCGGATTATCGGACAGCAAAGAAATGTTCAGCCCAATCTTTTACAGTTTTGCTGCCTCGATGTGAGACCCCACGGATTGGAGGTACCCCAAGGATTCTGGGAACGCGTCCTTGAACTCCTCAATCAGGGTGACTGTGGGTCTGAGGGAGCTGGTGGATCAGGCGGCTGTCAGTGTGGCAGAATTCAAGAGACTTCTGCAAATCCATGGTATGCAGCATATGGAGGAAATGAGTGGGTGAAGTGTGGCCCTATCCAGAGGCAAGTCGACCCTGCAACTCTATGAGCCACCATTAACTGGCTGGTCCTTGCAGGCAGCTAGTCGCGCATTGCATCCAGTGGACCAAGGGGACCTGATGAAGGCTGAAGAGTTGTGCACAGGCGTTGACGAAGACAAGAACTTTGTCACATGGGTCCGGAACACAGGTATGTTTGCCAGAAGGGGGGGGGGGGAGAAGAGGAGTTTGGACCTTGGGCAGTAACACTGGGCGATGCACGAAGGACTATGATGAAGGGAATAGATGTAACCGAACTACTTGCCTGCACTGAGGTGGCTGCAACCTGAGTGGTGTTTTAGGGTGTGGTGGTATGTGGGTGGGGGAACATGGAGAAGGCTGGTTGGTTGAGGACGGGTTTTGGGTTGGGATGTGAAAGCAGCTGCGGTGGAGAGAGATGAAGCAACAGCTGTGTTCATGGGTAGAGCAGCAGTGAAGTTGGCAGTGGAAGCAATGGACGTGGTAGTACTAGTAGAGGACGATGGGGGTATGCCAAAGGCAGGGGTGAATAAGATGGATGATGACTGGGGAGAAAAGAGAGGTTGGGTGGTTGATGTGGAGTGAGGAGCTGTACAAGGGGGAGTGTTTGGGGGGGGGGGGGGTAACTGCTGTGGTTGAAGGAGAAGCGGTGTGGTGACGATGGTGATGATGTGGTCAGTCTGGGCTTGAACCAATTTGGTGAGGTGGTCATCGATGTCAGAGTGGGTGTCAAGAACCGAGGTCTTATACTTTTCTATTTTGTGTGTCTTTTGCCCATCTCCATCTGGGCATTGCCCAGGGTGGTTTAAAGTGTGGAGATGGCACGAAGGAGGTTGTCCAAGGTCTCCACGGGATTTGGAGCAGAAGTAGTGGCCACTGCAGCAGCTTACTTGGCGTTGTCTGGTTTGATCCTTGAAGGTCGATCCTGGATGGGAGACATGTCAATCTCCTCCTTTTGGACGAACTGAGCAGTCTCGGAGCGGAGATTGGGGGCCATGGGAGAGAGGAAGGATCGAAGGTTGTCCGTGATGATAGTTACAAGGAAAGGAGCAAGGGGTCGTTGTCATGATCATGAGAGTAATGAGGGAAACAGTCTAGGATAGGATCGTCAAATTCGAGGATAAAATTTGCAATGGGACAGAGGATGGAGAATGTTGTAGGGGAGGGGGAAATTGTTGCAAGAAGAATCACGGATTTTGATTGATGCAGAACATGGAGGGGAGTGGGTAGGTGGTTATGAGGCAGATATCGGGTAATTTATGGACCTGAATCCATAAATAAACAGGGGAGAAGGGCAAGGGGTGCCAAGAAACCCGAAATTTGAGCACTGAAAGGTGCTGATGAAATTTTGGAGGTGTCTTTGGAAGGGAGGAGCAGGGGGGGGGGAGAGAGAGAGAGAGAGAGAGAGAGAGAGAGAGAGAGAGAGAGAGAGAGAGAGAGAGAGAGAGAGAGAGAGAGAGNGAGAGAGAGAGAGAGAGAGAGAGAGAGAGAGAGAGAGAGGGACTTGACTCAACAGCACTCAGAATCTAGGAGGGAGAGGCAGGAAGGAGAAGGAGAGAGAGAGTGAGATGGACTGGGCTCTACGCATGAAGATTCCAACAGCTCAAAGAGTTTTCGAACAAAGATTAGAATGAAATTGGATTCAATGGTGAGTGAACAGTGCTGCTGGCCGTTGGTTCAAGTACTGCAGCCAAGCTGTGCTTGGGTCTGACTCTGAAGTTCTGAATAGGCCCAAGCCGAGCTGTTGGCACTGAAGATTCGAAAATTTGAAAGGTAACTCTGGTGCCAAAATGGCCGAGGGACAAATCTCCATAAATACCATGGACCTGGGGATTTGGAAGGAAAGGCCCACACCCTGGAAAATGCTTTGGCGCAAAAGCAGTCCGAAGGACTGGTGTCAAGAATAACAGGTCCACAGTTCAAGCTCTGGCACGTAACAGGGGGGCATGCTCAATGAACTGTAACAGTTGATCATCACATTAGTACCAGTTGGCTGAATGGTACACACGAGTAGCTGTTGGTAAACAAGTCACGAGTTCCAGTCATGAGGGAACAAGATGGATAGAACAAAGCTAGGGGGCTATCTTCTTTTGCAAACAGATCATGAGCATGAATCCTGATGGAATCAGATAAATAATCAAACATGATGCATGGTCAGTGGTGCCAATTAAAGCGTTTAGCCGTCCGCATGTGCAAAAGTAAGTGACTTCGACGTCACTGACTGTTGTTTTATCCGTGCTGATGTTCATGCCAACTTTTGCCTTTTGCTTATTCAGGCTGGAGATAGGTATTGCTGCATCTTATTTGGTGGTGTTCCGCAGCGCTTCACTAACGGCGGAGTTCATAGAGTGCATAACCAGTGCCTGTAAATCCGGTCGTCTCCAGCCCCGCGGAACTCTTGAAATTGCCAGGTATGCTGGGGAGAGTTCTGTCTGTTAGCAACTGTGAGTGATATCTCATGGCAGATCCTTCTGTTGCGTAAGTGAAAAAGCACCAGTGTGGTTCACGACCTTTCAGTTCTCTTCATCGACTTTATCATCTGCATGCAAGTCCTTCTGTTGTGTTGTGTGAAAAAGCACCAGTGTGGTTCATTATTTTCTAGTTCTCTTCACGAATTTTATTAGTACAAGTGGTTGCCCGACGTGGCTCCGCCTGCTGCGCACACCCCTTTCTAGCTGTCTTCCTCCACTGCCTTCTCTGCAAATGCATTTGGCCGTGATTGAGACCGGCCTCGTTTTTGTCCCCCCCTTGCCTCTCTCTCTCTCTCTCTCTCTCTCTCTCTCTCTCTCTCTCTCTCTC